GGAGTTGTTGTTGTTCCATCGCAGTAGAACAGTGACACAACCAGGACTCCTTCAGTTTCCCGGCCAAGACTATTTTAGTAGATACCTCCATCTAGTGGAGACTGTGGAGAAGTGCGTGTAAAATGATCTGATGCCTTATTGTTGTTATTTGTCTTTTTTTTTAAAGTAAATATTTAAATTATAAAATAAATAAATAAATAAATACATTTTAAAGTAACAAAAATAATAATAAGAAGAAGAATGTTAAAATGATGCATTATATTACAATATCTAACAACTATATAGAGAAAATAAAATATAATGTACAATATACAAACACACATACAAATAAAAACAGGACAAATGAACATTATAATAAGTATCTGGTACATTTTACTGAAATACAGAACTAATTTTACACTTTTATACTTTAATCTATGATAATGAATTCCTATTTTATAATTTGAACATTTGATTTCTATATAAAATCTTAATGGAGTAGAGTAACATGTTTAATATTATAGAATAATAATAATAAAACAGAAACTGTAGTGTAATCTTTTACAGACGGACTGACAAACACTTTAAAAGTAAACTTGGATTTTAATGTTTCTGTTTGCAGCCTTTTTGTTTTCTCGTCACCATGACGACAAAGTTTCAACAGCAGCAACCTGACAGGTGAGTCTCAACAGAGCCGACCATGAAGCTATCAGCACTGATTTACTTCTCTTTATTCTCTACTTATTTATATCTGTGATTGCTATTGATTTCTTCCTGTAAAGCTTTGATTATAGACTCAATAATCAATAATTATTAATCAATGTCAGTATTTAATGACGGAGTGCGGTTTATTAGAATACGTTGAGATTAAAGACGTCGGTCCACCTTTATGGTTCCTATCAGACTGATACTGTTAATAAAGTCACATGTTTAGTTTTTTTCAGTTTATTGCACAAAAAATCCAATTAGACAAAGTTTGATATGTAAAACTGGATCTGGATAACGATTAATGTAGATTAGAGATCTAGTAAGCTGTCGCATTAACTATAACTTTTCAAAATAAATTAGTATAGCACGTAGCGGCTGTGGTTCAGGAGGTAGAGCGGGTTGTCCACCAATCAGAGGGTTGGTGGTTCGATCCCCGGTGTCCTCGAGCGAGACACTGGACCCCAAACTGCTCCGCATGAAGGTTTATAGTCCCACTAATATAAATGACAACTATATGTCAGAGCAGATTGTTAAGATCTACAATTTAAACACGTTTCTCTGAGATTCAAGCAGGAACTGTTTCTGTGTTTTCTGGTTCATCTGCTGAAGTCCGGACCAGAACCAAAACCCTCTGTTACTGAGGTGTGGAGATGAGCAGTGTGATGGACCAGAGCTCGGCCCGCTCTGGCTGTCGCTGTCAAAGTAAAGCAAAGACCTCCAAACTGAGACATCTGCATCAGAGCACCCTGTTCCTGGGGGACACGGCACCGAGCTACTCCACCACCCACAACCAGGTCGGCACACTGCTCCTAACGGGTTCAGGGGTTCGGTCGAGGACGGTTCTTAGTGGCATCTTCATCATTTTGCCTCTTTGTGTTCGTCAGAGTTATTCTGGAAGGTCGGCCGACGGACGTCCTCTCATCTTCCACCTGAGAGACCCCAGCTTCCCCTCGCAGCACCGGACCCGGCTGGACCTCAGCACCGACACCACACCGCTGCCGTGTGCGCTGCAGTCACACACTGCAGAGGTGCACAGTGCCAAACACATCACACCGGTAAGGTCGCAGCATGATGAACTCCAGATACAACATCAGGACTTTATCACTTCACGCATCACTTTAATGTATTTTTACGGTTTCAGACGGCTTTTGGGTTGTTTAAAGATCCACATTAATGTCCTCTACTGCTTCTACCTCATAAAGAATTCTATGAAGATGCTAATTTTCTTCATTTCTAAAGTCTCCAACTTCTCTTTAAAGTCCATTCTCGATGTTTCGCCACGTTTCTACAGCAGCGTTCAAACCCAAACACTGGCTTTAAAAAGAGCCTTTTGTGTTTTTTGTGGCCACCGTAGTTTCTCCCACACTCTTCACATCCTGTTCTCACTCCTACGTCCTCAAACACAGACGCGAAGGGTGTTCAGTTAGTTGCAATCCTTCTCACTTCTCCTTTAAATTGTATCATTGGATTCTGTTGTTTCTTCACTCATCACAGTTCATTCATTCAGTAAATGAAACAAACTCTCAAACAGACTTTTTGTCCCTCACACCTTTCTGTACCTCCGGTCTTCCTCCAGAGGACCGACCCGAAGGTGGAAAACTGGGCTCGGTATCGCAGCGGCCAGGACGTCAGAGAGGTCACCAACCCGCAGGATCCATCAGAGTACTGGACCACCTACCAAACGGAGCTCAGGGTCCCAGGAAGCGACAGCTCGCCACCGCTGGCCGGCGGCAGACCAACACAGTGGCACCAACACAACATACTGACAGGTAGCCTGAACTCAATCAGAATAATACAGATATTTATGATTATTATTACAACTAATCTATCTTTTTTATTAATACAGGCTAAACAATACAAGACAAAAAACACAACAACAATAATGTAACAAGTAAAAAGAAGAAAAACAAAGAAGGTTATTAGGATCCATTCAGTTATTAAAGTAATTACATAGACAGTGACAGGTTGAGTGTAGTATACACTATAAGTATATAAAGTCTTCACTAGAGATATTTTAACCACTTCATATCATGCTGTTCTAATTTGCAAAGGTTAATGGAAATTATTTTAGATATCGGCTTTGCAGTGTATTTAAAAAACAAACTTGAATTCAGATTTGTTCTTGATTAAATATAAATGCACCAGATAAATATTTGTGACTCGGTTGGTGGGCAGAACACTGAAAACACTGCTGTCACTTTTGATTGTTTTATTTTGAAAGTATTGGCAGGAAGTCCTTGTATAGGTGTAGTGACAGGTGACCTGAGTGTGTATAGACTCATGAGTGTTCACTGTCCTCCAGTGGCCACAGGGAGGAACTGCTGCCTCTCATTAGTGTGTGTGTGTGTGTGTGTGATTAAATGGGTTTTCAGAAAATGGACTTAAAGGAAAAAGTATAAATAATTGGACCAGGATTGACTTCCAAACAGAGTTATTGTAGTTTTGTATTCATCTTTTAGGTTTTCTGTATTTTTATTTCATTTTTAATTTCAGTTCCCTGAATGTTTTTTCACACCTTTACTTTAGATTTTGACTGAGCTCATTTCTGAATGTGAAAACATCCTTCCAGCGTCTCTGCACAGACACTCAAACATCACACTGCAGATATAGATATCATATATGATACAGTATATCTATCACTCGTGTCCTCTGCAGGTGAACCGAGGCCGACGGTTGGCCCGGGGAAGCCCAGCAGACGGTCCAGGGACAAGCTGCTGTGGGCGGCGAGGCGCTGGGAGACGGACTACTCTGCACTCAGACTCTACTGACGCACATCACAACAATCATACTGCAACGCTTCAATATTAATGATCTCTGCTGTCTGGTCTGATGTTTTACTTTGACTGATTCCCCCTCTGCAGATCACAGTGAATATTCAGTGTCAGCTGACGTCTTCTTCTATGAACTGAAGTAAAAACTGGGAACAGGCCTGGAGGGAAACCACAGGGAGTCTCAGTCACATAAGATATGCAGCAAGATATTTTAAGATCAGTCTGAGAGAGGGAAAGACGTATGAAGGAAGAAAAAAAGATCTGTAAGACATTATAATGATAGACTTACTCAAAATAAAGACTTATGTGAAAATATTGAGAAACTTTCTCAGTACTTTGAACTAAAATACTCTCAAAATAACGACTTTGTGATACTAAGTCATTATTTTTATAAAGTTTCTCATTATAATGTCTTACAGAATCCAGAAAAGGGCTTCCATAAATACCAGAGAGACCACAGAGCTGCTTTGTTTGTTCTCACTCTGGAACACAGAGAGAAATTCAATCAATAAGTCTGACAACGTTTCAGGTTTTACTTTGTGTCTGTGTGTTCTGTTTTTTAAGTTTGGTTTCCACTGATGTGTCATTGTTTCTTTTTATATTACATGTTTAGTCTTTTAGCATCCAATGAAGTGGCCTCCCTTTATGTTGTGTTGGATTAGATTGGTGTTTGATTTGATTTTGTATTGATCTACAAACAGTGAACAGTGAACGTACGGTTGAGCGAGGCTGAACTTTGCACAGACATCCAGAACTCGTACGTCACATGACTTGTTTCAGTCCTGAACCAAAAAATGTGAGGATTGTTTGTCCTGTTGAAGTTATTTGAAGGAAATTGCTTCCTTCCTTCAGCTGTTTAAGAGACATTAAAACATTTTATAGTAGAAAACTTCATCATCTCTGGCCCAGATTGCCAAATTTCACTGTTTCCTCCCTTTCTGCCACATTGTTTAGTTTAAAGCTGCAGTTGGTGACTTTTATAGGAATAACTTTCACTATATCCTGACAGAACAGGAGACAATCTGTGAAAACAATCGTGTTATTTGAAGCACGAAGGAGAAGGAGGAGCCAGAGGAAGCTGATGTTTCCACAGATTATCAGTCTCATGTTCTATCAGGATATAGTGAAAGTTAGATTTTTATAAACCTACAGCTGCTTAAAGAGTATCAGGATTTCCACACATGCAATATTATGTGTGTTGCACACTGTTGGACGATGAGCTCTAGTTTCCGTCTCTACCAGCAGCTGAAACCGGTCAGTTCTCAGTTACTGAGCGACGGCACTTCTGATGTTTACTTAATTACTTCTTATTGTGTATCGCCACCTCCTGGTGAGTCCAGCTACCCTAAACACCTGCTTAATGCTCGATTAATCCCCACAGGCGTTCTGCCTCTGATTGGCTAGTGTTTGTTGCCTTTGTAGGCTTGGTTGGTTCGGCTTAAGCATTTAGACGGTTAGAAAACAAATGTCAGAGGCCGAGTATGAGCTGAAAGACCAACTGGAGAAAAGAGTGTGTACATTGTGTGTAGGTTAATCTCCTGTATGTCGCACACTGGACCTTTAAAGCTGAAATACAGCTGCTAAAAACCAAGAAACCACCTCAAAAAAAACTCACTGAAATCAAACTTTTATTCATTTTCTTAAAGTTCTCCAATAAAGACAAATAATGAAATGAGTTGAAAGACAGTGATGAGACCAGAATCGACGAGACTGAGGAGGAAGTGACAGATAAATAACAACAGAGAAAGGAAAAACAACACATCAGACTGAGACAGAGTGAGGGACAGGTCTATTTACACAGCGACCCCCCCACACCAGTAACACACTGTGGGGTTTTACAGAAGAGCTAATAGACCACAGCGTCCAGCTAGCAGCGGTACAGCAGTAGGCTTGTATCTAGACACAGTTTCACTCCTGACGAGCTCCGCTTCAAATCCAGTTCTGTTTTTTCAGCACTATTATTCTTAAATACAACCGAAGCAGAATGAGCAAAAAAAAAAACAAAAAAAAAACACAAATATTCAAAAGGTAGGTACAATTTACATGACCTGTTCTGAAATGACAAACACTGTCCTGAAAACAATAACGTGAGGAATCTATGAGAGGTTAAAATGACGCAGTAAATGCTACACAAACTGCTCAGTAGTCGCTTTGTCTAAGTAGAGGGAATGGCTTAAAAGCATTACTGACATCTTAAAATGAAGCTCACACTCAGACTAAGAAACAAGTAACATTTCGACTTTGTGTGCGTGGCGGGGAGCGTGTGTGTGCGTGCGCGTGCTGCTGAGCGTTTCGGTATCGTGTGTGAACGTGTGACAACATAAACTTCATGTGGCAGCTGCATGCACGGCAGATTAATTCATAAGAGTAACCGAGTGGGGGGTCGAAATGTCGACGGGTGGGGGGGGGTGAAACTTATCCAATGAGTGAAAATAAAATAAGAACGTGGTTTCCTCTGTGGCGGAGACCGAGGAAGCAGGAGGCCAACTTCTAGCTCTCCCCTCTCTTTGAAAACAACTTCCTTCCACCTTCCGTTGTGTCGCGGATCATCTGTCGGGGATTCCCTTCGCCGTCACACTTCCGTCTACTCGTTCTTCTTCTCCTTCTGTTTGAGCAGTTTGTTGATCTCCCTCTTGGCCATGGACGCGTACTTGGAGATGACGCCGTGCTGGTTCAGGCCGGGCAGCAGCAGCAGGAAGTTCACTGCGGAACAAACAGGGCGAGTTTACATGCAGTTCTTTGGTTTGAGTCAGTCGCACATTGGATAAAAGATAATCTGTGACGTGAAACAACCAATAAAAATAACCACAACTTTAACACACAATGAGCGTTTCATACAGACTTTAAGAGTTTCCAAACTGAAATCACAAACTACACTGATTCTGTTCCAACTCTAACATTGTGTAATATCGTCTGAGTATTAAATGAAAGGCTGCTAACTGATGACGGCTGTATACAGTCGATCAATGATTAAATGTGATTGATTCAGTTTGAAAAAAACTGAAAACACCATACAGCAGCCAGTGTTAGTCATTTAGGTAGCGATGCTTCTGATTATCAGTTTAATTATTTTTCTGTTCGTCCTCAGCTGCATTTCTAACATGAGGTCAACGTGCTGCTGTCGGCTGAAGAGTTAAACTAAACACGAGTATTTCCAATAATAAGTACAGTTATATACACATAT